GCACACACCCGCGCAGTCGTCACGCACACACCCGCGCAGTCGTCATGCACACCCACATGATAATAAAATTGTCTTAGTTCCTATCCTGTTGCTGCCTTGTGACACCGTGACCAAGGCAACTTATAAAAAAAAAAGCATTTAATTGGTTGGTTTTCTTATAGTTACAGAGTTTCAGAGTGTGAGCTCATGACCATATGGTGGGGGGAACAGTGGCAGGCGGGCTGGCACGACATTGGAACAATAGCTGAAAAGTTCCATGCGCTCCACAGGTACAGGACAGAGAGAGAGGCAGGGCGAGATGGGGAGAGGGAGGGGGAGAGAGAGAGAGAGAAAGCCAGCTGGCACACTAACAGGGAATGGTGTGGGTCTTTTAAACCCGCAAAGCCCACCCACAAAGAGGCCATGGCCTCTAACCCTTCCCAGTTCCAGGAACTGCAGAACCAAGAATCCAAACCCAGGAGCCTAGGGGGCCTTTCTCACTCACGCCACCACATTTGTCTTAAAAAAATAAAGACGATTGAAGTGGGGCAGCAAGCTGTCTTCGCAGGTAAAAGTGCCTACTGCCAAACCTGATGACCGTAGGTTGATCACCAAGACCCATGTGCTAGGACTCTGGAAGGAATCCTCTAGCCTCCACACTTGCCCACGTGGAGTTTAGCCGAGGCAAAGTGGTGAGCTCCGGGTTCAGTGAGAGACCCCGTCTCACAGAAAAAGAAAGAGAAAAAAAAAAGGTAGGAAAAAATATAAGGTGGAGCAGGGTTGATGAAGACCCTGACATCAGCCTCTCGGCTTCACAAGCATGTGTGTGTGCTTGCATATGTCTAAAACACATACATACACACAGAGAACATACGCAGGGAAAAGTGAGTCAGTAAGATCACATGCCTGGGATCTGAGTATTTGTGAGGTGGAGGCAGGAGGATCGAGAGGACATTCTTAGCTACATATTGAGTTTGAAGCCAGCCTGAGTCCATGACATCCTGTTTCAAAAAACAAAGCAAATTAAACAAACAGTCAAAACGACAAAAAAGAGGGACTTTGGTGAGGTTCCCACTGAGCGGATGGGGTTCCCTGAGTGGCTTTTTCCAGTGCACTGGTTGGGCGCTGTTACATAGACGGGGTACGTCGGTGATGCGTAGGTGTGAGGAGAGCTGAAAGAGCAGAGAGCTTGTCTGGGAGCGGAGTGCCACGATGGGAGGAAATGGCCACAACATCCAGTGTAACAGAAAAATTCAACCCAGGAGATACACAGAGGAGAGACACCAGTTTGGAGTGCCCGAGTTATCAGTCCTTCTCACCCTCTTTCTTTAGTGAAGCCTCCCCTGGCCACCACCACAGCCAGGGTCCGTGTGAAGAACGGCAGATGGAACTTTTTGAAGTGCGCCTACATGGTGATGACCTTCTTCTTCGTGTCCTACAATAAAGGAGACTGGGTAAGGAGGCCGCTCTGGATGGATGCCTTTCAGTCTATGGAGGGAGGGAGGGTGAAAGGAAGGAAGGCAGGGTGAGGGGGAACAAAGGATGAACCGGAGAAGGCACTGTGGGAGAAGGGAGTCTACGCAGTGTAGCGAACTTCCTTGTCAGGCTGTCTTTGTGGGACTGCCAGCTCCCCAGTGACAACAGGAGACTTTATATTAGTTCTGAAAGCTTGGCTTTAGCTTAGGCTTGTTCCCAACGAGCTCTTATAACTTAAACGAACCTGTCTCTTTTAATCTACATTTTGCCACGTGGCTTGGTTACTTCTGTTCTGTACCACACGTCCGACTTCTTCAGGGCTTCTGGTAAAATCCGCGCACCTAGATTTCTTCTCCTCCTCCTCTAAAACTAATATGCCTTCCCCAACAGAACCACTCTGCCCACCTAGACATTAATAAGGAAAATTAATCTGAATAATTGCAATTCTCGGCAATTGTACAATTGCAAATATACCGGCTCTGCCTAACACTCAGAGAGTTGCCAGCCATGAATACAAGATTTTACTAACTTATATACACCTTAGGCATCTGCATTGTACCAGTCCAGGTTACAATTTGAACCATTTAAAAAGATAAGAGACTGCAAGTCTAACCACTTGGGCAGATGAGAGATTTACACAGCCAGGTATTGCCAGAATCATCTAAGAATATTAGTATTGATTTCTAATAGTCGTCACCCAGGATCATCTTGTCCATCTGGCAGAATTGTGTTTTTACTGATAAGAGCACAAGGAACTTAACGGCAGGCCAAGACTTAATGATGGTAGGTTTTGACCCTGTGCTGCTGTGAAGTCACAGTGTTTGCCTTTTTGTAAGCCTGGGCTGTCTCCTTTTGCTATGGAAATGAACCTAGTTGGAGGTCAATCAATCGGGTGTATAAACATTAGCAGAACTCTCTCAAGGACCCCAAACTTTAATTGAGGTACCGGCTTTTCCTTCTGTCCCAACCTGGTGACCACACCACTCATCCCCCAGCCACACTGGAGGAGGTGCTCCAGCAGCTGAATCCCACTTTGTGTGACCCGATGTGCCCTAAGCAGGTCCAGCGTCAGGTTTACTCTTGCGTTTGCACACATCATTGCTACATTCAGTCTCAGACTGAGCTCCGATGGTCGGGCGTGGCCACGAGCTGCTTCTCTCATTGAGCCACCCGTCCCTGTGAAATGTGAAGTGCCAGCTGTGCTCTCTGCTCTCTCTCTCTCTCTCTCTCTCTCTCTCTCTCTCTCTCTCTCTCACACACACACACACACACACACACACACACACACACACATTTGGGATTTTTTTTTTTAATTCGTATTCTCTCGTATATTATATCCCTCCACTCCTCGTGCACCCCCGCCCCCCAGATCCACTCCTCCTCCATTTCCCTTCAGAAAAGAGCAGACCTTCCAGGAATATCAATCGAAAATAGCATATCATGTTACAGTAAGACTGTGAACATACCCTCATGTCAACGCTAGACAAGGCAACCCAGAAGGAGGAAAAGGATTCTGAGAGCAGAGAAAGAGTTAGAGGCAGCCCTCACTCCCATTGTTAGGAGTCCCACAAGAACACCAAGTTACACAACCAAATGTGTGGCAAAGGACCTAGCACAGACCTATGCAGGGTCAATGATTTGGTTTCTGAGCCCCTGTGAGCCCTGCTTAGTCAGTTCTGTGAGCTGTGTTCTAATTGTGTCCTTGACCCTCTGGCTTCTACAATCCTTCCTCCCCCTCTTCTTTGGGGTTCCCTAAGCTCCATCAAATGTTTGGCTATGGGTTCCACATCTATTTCCATCAGTTGCCTCTCTGATGACAACTGGGCTAGGCACCAATCTCCGAGCATCGCAGAATATCATCAGAAATCATTTCATTGATTTTTTTTTTTTTTTGCCAGTTGTGTTTGGTTCTATCCTAGGTCTCTGCTCTATCCAGCCTCCAGTTCCTTGCCCTCCATGTAGTGTGGAGCATAGGCTTCCTGTCCTGGTGCGGGCCCTAAGTTAGACCAGTTATTGGTTGGCTGCTCCCACAAGTACTGGGCTGCCGTTGCCCCAGCACATCTCGCAGGCGGGATAGCCTGGGTTGACTGATGGTTTTGTGACTGGGTTGTTGTTGCAGACTCAGGAGATTCTTAAAGACCAAGTATTTGGCTGTTTTCAGGAGATGCTGCTGGATAAGTCACCTCATGTATCTCTGCCCGCTGAGCTGTCTCGCTGACTCCTGTTTGTGCTTTTGGAACAGGGTCTCTGATGTAGGCCAGGATGACCTTGCACTCATGATCTTCCTGAGTGCTGATGCTATGGGCTAAGCGGCCACATCTAGCTTAGGGGGTGAGAAGTATTTGATCTCTGGTTATTGGGTGCCACCGCTGAAGTAATAAGCCACATCAAACTGAATTAGTTAACCCAGAACACTCCCAGGTGGCTCTAGGGAAGGCAGGAGATAGAGCGCTTGGTGGATCTATGGGCCAGGTCTTAAGTAGCCTGTAGGAGTCTTGAGCATCTCAAGAGGAGGAGCCACTGATGGTGGGCTTTCTCAGGGGCGGGGTCTGGAATGGGAGGAGGGAGTGCTTGGGATCAACCTAGGGCTTCCTGTGCTAGGCAAGCACCCTGGCAGGTAAGTCACATCCCGGGTCAGGGGAGTTGTGCAATGAAGCCTCTAGGCACTGAGCAGATTTAGAGAAGGACACGGGGAAGCAGAGAGACTGCCCATGGTCAGGACAGGGGCCTGTGGTAGTGAACACAAGGAAAATCCTCTAGATCAGCTAGAGCAGTGTCTCCAGTCTTCTGATGCTGCGCCCCTTTAATACAGCTCCTCATGTTGGGGCGACCCCAACAATAAACTATTTTTGTTACTACTTCATAACTAATTTTGCTACTGTTATGAATCGTAATGTAAATATCAGTGTTTTCTGGTGGTCTCAGGAGACCCCCGGGAAAGGGTCTGGGATCGTGTCCCACAGGTTGAGAACCACTAGGCTACACTTTTATCAGGAATGCAGTTCATGGATTGGGCTTGAGGGCTGAGGGAAATGGGGAGACCCAGGAGATGATCGGGGAGCCCTGGTTCTCACAAAGGTGACTTGGTCTTCCAGAAGATTCTGCATAGTATCTGGAGATGGTTTTTCATTTTATGGCCCTCACTGAAGCACAGAATTTAGTGAGAGGCCAGGGACAGCTCTCAACCTTTCAACACTTCTTGCCCTGAAAGTGACAGGGTCAAAAGGTCATCAGTGTCTGTGCAGAAACACTGGGTGGGGAGGTGGCAGGGCCGATGAAAAGTAAACAGGCTGGAAGATGGGGGCCGAGCTCAGGAGCACAGAGAGGCTGACCAGTCACCAGTACCACAGGAGGGAGGGAAGGAAGTTGGTTGGCTGACTTTTGTTTAGTCCTTAATTTTGTCTTTCTCTGTTCCATGTTCTGTCATTTCTCCTTGTCGTCCCCAGTGTTACTGTCACTACTGCAACCCGGAGCTGAATTTGAGGTATGGCAGGGCAGGGAGGGCATCTCACATCTTGTCCACGGGTCCTGGAACTCATTCTGTCAGGCTGACCTCCAACTCACAGAGATCCGCCTGCCTCTGCCTAGGATTAAAGTTGTGTGCCACCACCTCCTGCTATTGAAAGAGATGGGTACCAGCTCAGGATCTCCAAGGCCAAGTTCTCAGCACAAAGGAGACTTATTTCCCCAGAGAGACAAAGGGCAGGGATAAGAGACAAACACAGGAGATAAAGGAAGAGGGAGAAGGGGAAGGAAACAAGGGAACAGGGCAGCTATTTGTTCCAAAGAGGGACAAAGGACTGTCTCTGGATAATAAGACAGATGTGGCACAAGGGAAAATGGCAGTTTATAAAAGTAAAAGATGAAGCCCCGTGAGTCTTAGTTAGGGTTTCCATTGCTGTGAAGAGACACCAAGACCATGGCAACTCTTACAAAGGAAAAACACTTAATTGGGGTGACTTACATTTTCAGAGTCTTAGTTCGTTTTCCTCATGATGCAACATGGTGGCATGCAGGCAGCTGTGGTGCTAGAAAAATAACCAAGTGTCTTACATCTTGACTGCAGGCAACAGGAAGTAGTCTGAGGCACTGAGAGTGGTTTGAGCAGATATGAGACCTCAAACTCCACCTCCATGGTGACACTTCCTCCAGTAAGACCACACCTACTCCAACCAAGGCCACACCCACCCCAACAAGGCCACACCTCCTAATAATACCGCTCCTTTTGGGGGCTGTTTTCTTTCAAACCACCACACAGTGTTTGGACGAGGTGTTTAACTTTAATTGGTCATATTAATTAGGTGAGCCAAAGGGGGCTTTTGATTGACGGACTTAATACTTTGACAGCTTGACCTTGGCAGTGAGCCCCAGGAGGAGGAAGTGGCTAAATAAGGGGGCAGATGTTGGTGGCTCGCTTCAGGGATGTAATCTAATGGTGTTTAGCAAGGTAGAGGGAAGGGGGCAGAGGGCAAGGCTGCCAGAACCACATGCTCCAGTGGGCTAGTGTCCCTTCAGTTATTATTGCGTGTATACCCGTGTCATGGCACACATGCAGAGGTCAGAGTTATTATTGCGTGTATACCTGTGCCATGGTACACATGCGGAGGTCAGGGTTATTATTGCATGTATACCCGTGCCAATACACACATGTGGAGGTCCCCTTCCACCTCTTGAGTCCCTAGGATAGGACTTAGTTTTCAGTCTCGGCGGCCAAGTGGCTTTACCTGCTGAGACATTTCTCTAGGTCAAGGAGGTTTTATGTATGTGTGTGTGTGTGTATGTATGTATGTATATATATATATGTGTGTGTGTATGTATATATATGTATGTATGTAGGTATGTATGTATTTATGGTTTTTTTTTTAATTTTTAAGACAGGGTTTCTCTGTGTAACTTTGGAGCTTGTCCTGGAACTTACTCTGTAGACCAGGCTGGCCTCAAACTCACAGAGATCCTCCCGCCTCTGCCTCCCAAGTGCTGGGATTAAAGGCATGCGCCACCACTGCCCAGCTAAGGAGGTTGCTTTTAAATAGCTCTTGTCCAAGGTAGGGTTTGTAAGCCGCAGTCAGAGTCACAGAATTGCATGGAAGGTTCCAAGTTCATTTTCCTCTAGTGCGGGAGGAATGGCATGTGCGTGTTCCCCTCTGCTGCACAATAATAAAACTCAGTGTCATTCGAAGTGGGGTTTTTGTTTTGCTGCTGAAGAAGAGAGCTGGGTAAATAGTTCAGAGGTTAAGAACATGCACGACTCCTGCCGAGGATCAAAATTAAATTCCCAGCACACACATTGAGGAACTCAGACTCCCTGTAATTCCAGCTACCGGGCTCAGATGTCCATTTCTGGCCTGCAAGGGCACTGCATTCTCCTGGACGTACCCACGCACCCACAGACACACACACGAATAATTTAGAATAAGAAAGAGGCCAGAGAGAGGCTTCAGCAGTGAAGACTTCTTGCTGCTCTAGCAGAGGACTCAGGTCTGGCTCCCAGCACCCCATGGTGACTCACATCAGTTACAGGAGATCTGACACCCTCTTCCGGCCTCTGTGCACACTGCATGCCCCTGGTGCACTTACACACGGGCAAAGACACACATAAAATAAAAGTAAACCTTTAAAAATATTTTTATTAAAAAAATTACAGGCTGTGATGGCACGTGCTTTTAATCCTAGTACTCGGGAGGCAGATGGGGGTGGGTCTCTGAGTTTGAGGCCAGCCTGGTCTATAAAGCTAGTTTCAGGACAGCCAAGGTTATACAGAGAAACTCTGTCTTGAAAAAACAAAACAAAACAAAAACAAAAACAAAAAAAGAAACCTCCCTCCTAAGTAGAACCACTCCTGCTAAACGTTCAGTAGTAGCCAGTTCCCCACGAGGTCTGGGGGAAGTGACTTCAGCAGGTGGAATAGGTTGGGGGCGGAGAAACAAGGTGGGCGGACCATAGCCCTAAGAAGCATGGCCCAGGGTGGAGGCGAGAGGTGCAGGCTCAGGAGTGGCACATAGAGTCCTAGGGGGCGGTAAGAGTGCTACGAGGCCAGGAACCTGACAACATATGAAGATGTAAATATGCGTCCAATTGTGTTTCCTCCCCTCTCCCCTCTTCCTCAGAGACGACCCCTGCTGCTCTTTCTAGTGAACCTGCTCCATCTCACTCCTCCTTCACTAGCCCTCCAGCTCCCAGGCATTTCACCTCCCAAGGAAGCTCTTCGCGCTCCACCTGCCAACTCGGAGGGCAATGAGCGAGTTCAGAGAAAGTCCCTCAGAGTGCCGTGAGACGAGGGCCGTGGGAGCGGAATGAGCCTCTTCAGGGCTTTTGCCCACACCTTATCTTCGGGACCATTTTCAGCCTTTCTTTCCTGTTCCTCTAATGAAATGTGCAATTGTGTAATGGCTAAGGGTTTCTTTCTTCTGCTCACAAAACACAGCAAATGAACACAGGGTAGAGGGGCGCTAAGATTCATTTATAATTTTTAAATAAAAAATTTGTTACCTCCTGAGTCAGTGTGTGTGCATGCATTGCGGGCATCAGTTTACAACAGCTAACATCTTTATCCACCGAGCAGTCTTGCTGGCTCTCAGATAGAGCAGAAAGGCCTATCTTTGTATTCTCTTGCTTTCAGGTGTTGGGCAAAGCCCAGTGCCTTCGGAACCCTGATTTCCCCGGTATATGATTGTTCTGATGGGACACCCAAGTTTTCCGGTAACACCTATTTCCTATCTCCCCACCTTTTTCTTTTTAAATTTTATGTGCATTAGTGTTTTGACTGCATGCATGTCTGTGTGAGGGTGTTGGCTCCCCTGGAACTGGAGTTACACACAGTTGTCAGCTGCCATGTGGGGGCTGGGAATTGAACCTGGTCCTCTGCAGGAGCAGCCAGTGCTCTTAACCACGGGACCATCTCTCCAGTTCCCTCTTATTGTTTTTGTTTTGTTTTTTGAGACAGGACTTTTCTGTGTAGCCTTGTCTGTCCTTGGAACTCACTCTGTAGACCAGGCTAACCTCAAACTCAAAGGTTCACCTGCCTCTGCCTTCCAAGTTCTGGAATTAAAGGTATGCACCAACACTGCCTGGCTTATTTCCCGTCTTTTAATTCTGTAATTGGCAGGGGAAATAAACCCATTCCTGCACAGTCTCCTAGACAGTATCAAGACAGATGCAGGAGAATCAGGAGTCTAGGGCCATTCTTGACTACAGAGTGAGTTCCAGGCCAACCTGGAATACATGGGAATTTGTCTAAAACAAAAACAAGCAGACAGAGAGACGGTTCAACAGTTAAGACAACTGGCTGCTCTCACAAAAGACCTGGGTTCAGTTCCCAACACCCACATGAAAGTTCACAACTATCACTAACTCTAATTACAGAAGATCTGTCGCCCTCTTCTGGCCTCTGCTGGTAGACATGTGGTGTACTTAACATTCGTGAAGTCAAAACATTTATGCATATAACATAAAAATAAAATCTTGGGGAAAAAAGCAGCCCGGTGGTGGCACATGACTTTAATCACAGCACTCGGGATGCAGAGGCAGGAGAAACTCTGTGAGTTCGAGGTCAGCCTGGTCTACAGAGCGAGTTCTACAGGGCTACACAGAGAAAACAAAACTCAAACCAAAAACCAGAAAGTAAGGTTCAAGGCTGTAGGCTGTATACTGTTTCTAGTCCCTACTGTATCCTTGGCAACCACACTAACTGAACTCTTAATAAGTGTGCAGCGCTTGTTAAGTTACAAGTTAGACCAGAACGAGTGCTCCGTGGAGCCTTCAAGACCCAGTTTGCCTCAAGAGTATGGTTTCCTGTCAGATTTGGAGGAGGAAAAAAGTGAGTGCACCCTTTGGTGTGCTCTGCTCACTTACTATAAGCAGTCAGCCAGGCACAACGCGAAGGCTTGCGCGTACATTACTGTTGCACAAATAGTAACCTCACTCCCACCATCCAGTCTTTATGAAGGCCGTGAGAATCCTAGATGGAGTCAGCCTCTCTGGCCGGACTTGGCAGTCTGGGCGGAGGAAACGGTAGCCAAGGTCCAGGGCCTGCTGAGCTCACTTCTGCCGCGAGGCGGCACTGTCTCACGACTTCCGGCTCCAGTCCGCCACAGGCTGCAGTACTACAATTCCCACAAACGTGCGCGTCGACCCGTTTCCTCTCCTCTTTCTTTCCTAACAAATCACACCTCAAGGATATCTGGAAAGCGTTTTCAATTTCCCAAATCATTCCTTGATGCAGACGCTTCTGCTAACAAATTCCTTTTTACTGACGGTCACACCTCCCGCCTCTCTGCTTCTTTGAAACTACAATACCCAGAAGTCGCTGGGCCACGCCAAGCCTACAAGATGGGTTGCCTTGGAAACAGAAATGCCAGATCTGGGGCTGGGAATTGAGGGGAAAAGCCCGTGTGTCTAGCGAAAGCAGGATTGCGATTGGTGGAGAGGGCTGTTTGCTTGCTTCCTCTTTGGTTTTGTTTTTTTCCCCCTTTATATTTTCTTATTTCTTTCCTCCGTTCCTCACTTTATTTTTTCCTGTATAAGAGTTCCAAGTCTCTATGGTACTTTTTTCATACAATTTTATTTTTCATGGTGTTACTTTTTTCCCCGCCCCCTACCTTCTCCTCAAGCCCCTTCCTTACATCCTCAGTAGGCAAAAGGGCACATTTCAGAGTGCCGCAAGCACATCGAGACGTGTGGTCTCCTCATGTCTTTTCAGGGGAAATCCTTGGGTCCTCAAGTCTGGGTCAGCTACACTGTGCAATGTCCTGTAGGAGACAGGAGAGGCTAGTCTGGACACGGGAGGAGTATTAGGTCTGTTCCTCAGGTCCCAAGAGGTCTCCTGGGTGGTAGGTCCCAAACCCGGGACAGGCGGCTAGGTGCCTACTTAGCATATCAAAGCGGACCTGGCCGCCAGGCTACCCTAGCATCCCTCAGTCCCTACCTGTCACAGGGTCCTCTTGGCGGGCACAGCCTGCGCTCTTCCATAACCTTCTCCAGCCCAGGGACTGAGCTGCCCTTCTCCCAGTTAACCTTCGCTATAGAATCCAACCATTTTGGTTGCCTCGTCCCTTCCCCTCCTGGCCTCTTAGTCTGGCTCTCCCCTCCCCCTTCTCCCATGGCTCAGAGTCATTTTCTCCCTGGCCTCTCCCAGATGTTCCTGCCTCTGACTATGTCTCCCTTTTATTACACAAACTTTCTCCTCCACAACACCAGGAGCAGTCAGTCATGCCCTTTCCTTTTTCGTTCTTCTTTTTCTTTTTACCATCCACTGGGGAGTGAATGCAACTTTTAGTCTGCCCCCTTTCCAATCTCCAGGAAAATGACCTGCCTCACTCGTTGGATAGATGGAGAAACTTAGAAGGGGATGTGAGACTCTGAGCCGCACCTCTTCTTTGGGGCTTCCCACCCTGTACCCCTATTCTTGAGTTTCCTCTTTGGAGAAATGCTGTGTAGAACTTAAGTGCCCGCGCCTCCGCCCAGTTTCCAGTTCAGGGGTCTCCGGTGCTTGAACCTGTTTTCCCGTCTGTGGAATGAAATCACAGTATTTGCCTCAGTAGGGTTGTGGACAGAACTATAGGATCTCAGCGGCGTTTGTCGCGGCTGATGCTCACCGCCGTCGGTCTTGACACTTTCTTTCCTCTGGGCACTTGGCGTATTCACGTGTGGATGTGTTGAATTGTGCGGCTGCCACGCTTTCTCCTGTGCGAACATCAATGGCTGTGTTCTCGCTAAGGGATGTTATAGGGTCTAGTGTCGGCTCTGTCCTGTCATTGAGCCAAGAGTGTCCTCAAGGTTCACCTTGTGAGGTGGCTCCCGAAGTGCCTTGGATGGGAGTTATTTGATATGATTTGATAAGATAGAGCCAGAAATGACTGGGGTTACTCAAGAGGTTTAGGACAGGCCTTTCCCCTTTAAGTGGGATTTCTACGGAGGTTCCTAAAAATCTCAGGTCTGCAGCTTGCGGGAGTAAGGCCTTGAGCAGTGGTCAGTTGTGCGGGAGTTCCCGCGCTCGGCTAGGAGAGGCTTCTACCGGACTCCAGGGTGGGACGCTCTTCCTTCTCCGAGTCAGTCACCGCCCCCTGCTCCACGCCCAAGGTCACTAGGTCTCCGGACCAGCGGGCACGGAGACGGAAACGCCCTTCCCTCCTGGGTTGGGCGTGCTTACGCCGGAGGCAGGCCGGTGCAAGCTCGCGACTGCGCACGGCGTGATGCGCGTGGGACCCAGTGCGCCCGAGGTGTGGGACGCTGCGAGGAGAAGCACCCGGGATGGACACACCCCGCAGCGTCGTAACCCGGAGCCCGGCGGGAACGCGCACGCGCGTCCGCGGAAGAGCACACCTCTCCCCGCGCGCGCTGTGCAAATTTGTGTGGGGCGTGGCCTCGCTCCGTCTCCCGGGCTCTGATTGCGTGAGCGTCAGGGGGCGTGGCTCAGCGCTCCCGGGGAAGCCCCCGGGGGCGGGGCCGCACTCGTCTACGTGTTGCTCGCGGGGCGGCGGGAGGAGCGGCCCTGGAGGGGGACCCCTGCGGGTCCGGGCGGCCAGTGCGCAGGCGCGGGGGCTTAATCGCTGGCAGCTCAGTCGCAGCTGTGAGGTTGAGGACAGCTGGGAGGCAGGTGAGGGACTGGCTGACCGGGAGCGAGGCTTCCGTGGAAATGATTGCTGGCGTGTGTGTGTGTGTGTGTGTGTGTGTGTATGTGTGTGTTATGTGTGTGTGCGTGTGCGCGCGGCTAGTCTGCGTAGGTCGAGCACTCTTGAACTCCTCTAATGATCTGAGGTGATTCGGTGCACTCCTAAAGCCCCGTGTATGGTTGACATGGCCCGTGGGGTGGATACGGAGTGAGGATCCTTCAGGTGATTCCACGTGTGTGTGTGTTTGTGTGTGTGTGTGTGTTTATGTGTTTGTGTGCGTGAGACGGGCGGGGGGGTGGAAGAAGGAGGGAGGGAGGGGTTGGGAAGGAGTGAAACTGAGTAGGCCTGTGGGCCTCAAGAAGCAGGTGCGTGTGCCAACTGCGTGATCTGTGACATGCGAAAAGGATGTGGGAGCACAGTTGTGAGCATCTCCGTTGTACCCGTGAAAGAGTGTGACAGACCGATGGGGCTGTTTGTCTAGGTGTGCCGGGCCTGTGAGGCCCAGGAACAGGTGCCTGATTTGTGGCGTTGTAGTGAGAAAAGGAAGCCCCCGCAGGCTGGAGGGTGCTGCGAGAGTAGGTGTGGGCACACAGTTTTGAGTGTCTCTGTTGTCGCTAGCAGTGCGTGTGCGAAAATGTGTGTGTGTGAGAGAGAGAGAGAAAGAGAGAGAGAGAGAGGAGAGAGAGAGAGAGAGGAAGCTGTTTATCACAGTCTAGAGATACTGCGCGCCACCAGATGTCTGTGGCTTTGTTGAATGTGTGCCAATGCGTGATTGATTGTGCCTTATCTCATTTGTTACTGTGGCAACGGGCTCCTCTAGAGCAGGAGATGTGATGGCTACTCTGGGAAACTGAACCTGTTAAGGATGAGACTTGGTTCTGTACAACAGGATAAACAGCCTGTCGGTGTTGATGGGAGGCTAAAGGTGTGCTGCCTGGGACGTAGTGAGTACCCTGTAGGTCTGGCCTTTGTTGTAGTTCTGGGAGTGCGGGTTTTGTGCTGTGCTGTTTACCTGTGTCCAGGTAGGATTGTGCGGAATCTCAGAAAAATTTGTGTCTGCTTTGGAATTTGGCCATCTTCCACCTCCAGCAGATGTTCTGGTCTCTCTGCTTTGAGAACCGCTCGCACCCCCCACCCCTTCTACCCCTAGGCAAGCACTTGCCTTCTTGGTGTCTGCCCAAGTATGGTTCTGAAGGGAAGATACAGCCTACCCTGACCTGTGGAACCTGTTGTGTGTCTTCCTAATCAGGGTATCTGGAGGGAGATAAATGGAGGTGGTGGGGGTAGATGCAGAGGGCCTGGGGCCAGCCACTGTTACCCACCAACATGGTGGAAGTCACAGAACCTTTTTGGAGTGACCTTGTTGAGTCTCTGCAGGCAGCACCAACAGACCCTTCATTTCATCCCAGCCTCGTTTTTTTCAGTATTGATCACTGACAGAAGAAGCAACCATTCATTGGGCCTATAATCTGAAAGGAAAGAACAGGAGATAATGTGGCTGCTGTAACAAATTGCTCTCAGGTTTAATGGCTTCAAAACTTTATGCATACTTAGTACTTACTAATCTTTTAAGTAATTAATCCAACCAGTAATTATTACTATTACTCTTTAACTACTGCCCCATCCCACAAAGAGAGAAGCATAATAAATGTAGCTTTCTGAGAAGATGGCTTCCCATAGACAGTATAGATCATCTTGAAATTCTTGTTTAGCGTAAAAACTTAGCTAAGCCTAGCCTTCGTTCCACTTATCTCCCCTCACCATTTGTAGAGGGAAGTGTTCATGCTTCCAGTTTCAGCTCCTTCTGTATCTTCCATAGACTATCACAGAAAGATCTTTGCAAATACATAAATAATAAAAGATCTGCCTAGATCTGCTCTTAATAGCACCAGGTATGAGGATGGCATTCTTTGAGGGTGTTTAGGAGTAAACTGTCATCAGATCTAAACTTATTTTCAAGTGACTCCATTTTTTTTTAATATGCAGGACATGCTATTATTCAGTAAAGAGTTAGACTATTTTCTTTTTCTCCAGATTTCCTGCTTTCCCAGTAGGGGATTAGTTTGTCCCTGTTTCTGCTTTCTTGGAAGGCCCACGTTTTAGAGGCTATGGGGTGAGTGAGTGCTTGTCCCGCTGTCTCTTTACAGTGTCATGTCAGCACAGGGAGACGGAATCCCACTTCTGTCAGCACACACCAGCATATTCAGGGTGCATTAGTGGTCAGTCCACAGGTGTGCAGTCTCTGCTCTAGTTTTTGTGGGTTTTGTTTTTGAGACGGGGTCTCCTGAATCCAAGGCTGGCCTCCAGCTTGCTGTGTAGCCCAGGAAGTGTCCCAGTGCTGGGAAGCTGCCACCACACCCAGTTTACACGGCGCTGGAAACAGTTTCCTGCATGCTAGGCAAGTCCTCGCCCTCCTGAGCGGCATCCACATCCCAGTCAAGATCCTTGCTCTTGATCCTACACCCAGCACGCACTTGTGTGTGGGTTTGTGATATTAACTAAGTAAACAGTGATCAGCCAGCACTCTGCTGTGGATAGAGCTTAGTCCTGGAGCGCTTGCCTAGCATGCACAAGGCTCTAGTTTCTGTCTGCAGCACTGCAAAGTAAGTAATTATATAGATGAGGAAATAATAAGAGTTCTGAATAAAAAAGAACAATGAAATAATGTATCGTGTGTAATATATGGAGCACTGTCTGAAAACATAAGAGGCATATAAACTTGAATATTCCAGTAGCCACATTTTTAAAAAGACATAAATTTATTAAAATTAATAACATCTTACTTGCCTTAGTGCATCTATAGCAATTTTCATTGCAGATGGAAACTGTGCTTACATTACTCTGTGCTTACATTTCATAAACCTTGCCTTGGAAAAATGGTTACACCAAGTTAGTGCAAATATATATGTAAGTTTTATTGTAATTAATCCAATACCAGTCTTGCTTTCTCTATGACTACCAAAGCAGTTTATGTGCAATGCTGCCACCTCCAGATTTTGTTACAGAGTCTGATTAGTCTTTCTCTCTGCTCAGCTCCTCTCACCTTTCCCCTAGTAATATCTTATCACAGAAACCGCTCACAGCCACCTTCGCGATCTGATTCCATCAGCCTTTCTCACCTCACTCTGCCTTAGCACACAGCCCGTGCCTAGCACAGTACCTTGGCTCTACCCTGTGCCCTGTGGTGAGCATGTGAGCACATTCAGACCTCAGCTCATTGTTGCCTCCTCGGAGAGGCCTTTCCTGACTACCCTGTTACTCTGGTCCCCTATCCTGGTCCATGTTTCACCCCCTAGGGTATGTACGTGCTGTCACGCCCAATTTATGTTACACCAGATGTTGAGCCCAAGGCTAAGTGCCTGCTGGTCCATATCTCTCTAGCAGCTTAGCGACCCAGCCCCAGTACCTGCTTTTTGTTAGGCAGCTTCTCTGGGTGTAGTAGCTCTGAGTAGGGCAGTGAACAGAACAGTCAGGATTCCTGCTCTTGACCTAAGTCATCGTGTGCCGTGTGGACTTGTTTTCCTTGCCTGAACGAATGGTACATGGGAGCAGGTACCTTCCTGCTTTAGCTGTCATGGCAGAGCCTGGCACCAGCAGTCACTAGTCAGATGGAGGGCTGGGTGTCTGTATATTCTTCATCTGTGTCCTGATCAGGAGCCTGCTGTGATTGTAGAGGTGGAGTGTTGTGTGAGTTCCTCCTTGTCCCTTCCCACCCCTGAGAACAGGACACACACACATATACACACACACAAACCACACACACACAGATGCCCTAAGAGTGGGACACACACACCATCACACACATATACACCCTAAGAGTGAGACACACACACACAAACCATACACACTCTAAGAGTGGAACACACATACATACACACACACACAAACCATACACATACACATCCTATGACACACATAAACCACACACACATAGACACCCTATGTCCCTAAGAG